TATTAGTTATAATAAACTATATTAATACTACTATTATTAGTTATTTTATAGTTAGTTAAAATTTAGTTATTTATTATATTATAAGTTATTTTAAAGTTACTTAATATATAGTTAGTTATATTATTAATAGTTATATTATAGTTAGTTATTATATAGTTAGTTATACTTTAGTTAGTTATTATAAAGTAAGTTATAATATTAATAGTTATTATATAAATAGTTATTTATAATAACTTTAGTATAGTTAAATATATTAATAAATTATCTATATAATACTATATATTAATTAATTTAGTATTAACTTATATTTATTATTTATATTATACTTAATAGTTATTACTAAATCTTAGTTTTTAAGTATATAGTATTTTAAGTAAAATATATAAATAATACTATACTATAAGTAAAAATTAAGTAATATTATGTATAATTAATTTACTAATTTTAATTATTTTTATTTTTTATGTTGTATAGTTGTATATTATATAGAATATAATATAAATATAATATAATATAAATATAAATACATATATTATCTTTTATATATAATATAATATAAATATATATATTGTATTTATATTTTATTATATTATAATTATATTATATTTTTATATTATATTATATTTTGTATTTTTTTTAAACTCTCTAGTTATATCTATAGTTAAAGTCTTTACTAAAGACTTTTAGGACTTTTTAATTAATAAGGCTAAAGTATAAGTAAAAATATAGGTAGTAATTTAGTAAGCTCTTTAGCCTAATAAATTTATAACTATTAATATTAGAAATCTTAATTCTATAGCGCTAAGGTATTAACCTTAGCTTTATTCTTAGACCTATAGTAGTAGTTATAACTATAGTTTAAAATATTAAAGTTATAAAAAAAATATAAATATAGCTAAGGTAGTAGTAATAGTTATAACTATAGTTTTTACTAAGGCTATTAAGGCTTTTAATATTAATACTATAATTACTTTTATACTAAGGGTACTTATTAGTTTTATAAAGTAATAAATTATATTATTACTAATTATAAGTATACTTATTACTATATTACTTATAGTATTTATTACTATAAGACCTTTTACTAGTATTTTAGAGAAATAAATAATTCTAAGACCTTTATAAAGGTTAGTATTCTTAATAAAGAATATAATAAAAGGTAGCTAGATAATAAGACTATTTTCTATTATATCTTAACTTATCTAAAGTCCTTTAAATACCTTATTAATATAGTTTACTATATAGTATAAGAAATCTTCCTAGACTTAAAAAGAGAGGTTTAAGCCTATTAAGCCTACTTTACTATATAACCTTTATTAAATAGGTCTATAAATCTTAACCTTATAAAAAAGGTTACTTTTATAAATAACTATTTAAAGTCCTTCTCTTTCTTTACTACTATAACCTAGGCTAAGAATCTATATACTACTAAGAAGATAAAGACACCTACCTATAGGTAAAAGTATTATAATATATAATACTAGTATAAGCCTTAACTTATTAACTTACTTAATATCTAGTTTTCTAATCCCTTAGCTACTAATTAAGTTATTAAGCTTAATAATAATAAAAAGGTCTAGGACCTTTCTTTACCTATAGCTAAAGACCTTTACTTAACTAATAATACACTAGTAAAAAGATTTATATCTTAAGGTAGTTAAAACATTATATTAAAGCTTCTTTATAAGTAGACTAATAATAAAATATTAGTTCTAGAGATCTTTCTAATGCATAAAGACGTCGAGGAACGTGTTAGCAGCAGCGCAGTAAGCCTGACCCCATTGCCCGACGATGCCGCTATGGGAGGAACACAGGATAAAAAAGTCCAAGTCGGAGAGCAACGCTCATGCAAATTCTACGTGCCCTGTGGGTAGCACAGCCGTTGTCTAGTCTGAAAACGTCATCTGACTTGTCGAAACGTCCTGTAGGCAGCGACAGAGATTAGTAATCGCCCTTCGGTCTAAGTGAAATATAGTATGGTTTCTTACCTTACGCACCATAGCCAGGTTGATAACTCCAGCGATCAGACGTGCCGCCGTCCTCACAGCCCTTTCTACATCTACAGCGTTACATACGCTCCCTTCTACCAGCTAAACCTCGCAGTCTTGCTAGGCAAGCTTCTCTAAGAAGTCTCGATGCCCAGCACCAGCTTTGGCAGATCAAGACAGGAAAAGCAGGTGACGGGCACCGTGCTCATCCATCCAAGTTGAAACAGCCAAGCCCAGGCCACCAAGGCCGCCGACCAACAGATAGCTCTAATCAGGACACAAAAAGGGCGTTAGCTTAGTCTTGACGCACTGTATAATACAGTGGTCTACCGGCATTCTAAATACAATCTTGCTAATATAACGTCTAGTCTTGATAAAGTTGAATACGTCCTACACCCTATTAGCTCTAAAGGTATCTGCTATTATTATAGGACAAAGGACACCTAACTAAATCTAGGTTATATAACGTTATAGGGCCCTAGACTAAGGTAAGTATATATAATGTATAAGAGAAATAGCTAAGTTATTGTTTATAAGATTAGGCCTAGAAGTCACTTACTATATAGCTTTCTTAGGATAAATATAAAAGATCTACTATAAATTAAAGCTAGTAAAAGTCTAGTTAGCTTTAAAAAGCTCTATTGCTAGCTTTAATTGTTAACAAAAATCTTATTTTCTAATCTTAATTATAGTTCTAAAATTGGCAACGCACTTCTACAACGCGCGTAGAAGGTCCCTAGATAAAGAATAATATTAACGCCTCTGTTATTAGTTATACACATAAAATAGCCTAGGAATAAAGTGTCTTAGGAGCTAAAGATATATAAGCTTAGGATGCTATAATTCTTAATAAGATGCTAAGTCTTGTCTTTACTACTGACAGTAAAGTATATCTTTATTTAAGTTAGAAATTAAAGTGTAATAATTAAAGGTATAAAACAAAAATAAAACTAGAAGCCTTTAATTAGAGAATAAGGAGTTAAATAATTAAATTTTATAAAGGAGTATAGAGAGGCTAGAGTAGAGTAAATATAAACCTTAGCACTAATCCTTTATGTAATTTAAATAGCTACTAGGCTAATACTACTGTAGGCAGAATAAATAAGAATTATCTATTATTAATAAAACATCTAGGAATTAGTAAATCTAGCTTTATAACTAAGTGTTTAGTAGTATAGCCTTACCTGTTCCTTTCTTAAGTTTACTTAATTAATAAGCGCTATTAATGTAGTTATATAAACAGAGGGCAATATAGCCCCCTCTTCAGGGGTCAAGTTGTTGTTAATCCTGATATATAAGGATTATTGTAGTAAGATATATATTAATATAAAGTACCTACTTAAAAGGTAAATTACCTAGTCTTTAATTAAGTAATCCTAGACTCTAGGGCCTATACCTACAATTACGCTGCAAGCTTCTGTACTAATTTCCTAGAGGACTATACTTAAGAACACTGAGAGAGATAACCAAGTCCTATAACTAGTGTTAGCACAACTTAGATCCTTAAAATAGATAGTAGGTAAAGATACCCTAAAATTCAAGCCTTTATTGTTTTAGTCTACACTAACACCTGACCTTTGCCTAGATCCTGTGGGTTCTTGTCGCTCTATCGGATTGTATGCAGTAGACCTGATGTCTTGAGGACTAGCTGCTTCTACGAATGCTTGCTGTAACTATTATTTGCAAAAGAATCTGGCATTGTTTGCTAGTGAAGTCAAGGTATAAACACCTTACTATTAACAATTGCCTATATATAGTCCAGGTCTATTGAATGGATCTCTGACTTGACTGACTGGGTGAAGGAGAGAACCTTTACTAGAAAATCAGTTGTGATAGATTTTAGTGTGTGTAGTTGAGGGAGCATCGGGTGCTCTGCGTTTGGAGGTGGGGATATTGCCGCATGTTGCGTTTGCGCTAGTATTGGCAGTGAGGCAAGGATTGGTGACGGGGGCTTTATGTGATGGGATGTGGCGGAATGTAATGGGATGCAGTAGAGCACAACATGTGTAATGTAGTCTCTTGACTCTTTACTAAAGCCTTGCTTACGTAGGTGCTGCCTCTTGTACTTAATAGAACTTATATATTACGTATTTCGTTATCTTATATAAAGTAAGTACCTCTTTTATCCTATGAGTCCTACACCCCACATGCGATTTCAATGTTGGAGATGGCAGATCTGCGCTGGAGGGTTTGTTAGTACCTTGACCATGGATGTGAACAGGAATGCATCTAGCCTTCCCTGAACGGCTTTCCCTGGGAGAGGTTGCGCCCTCTGGTCCAAGGCGGTCAAGTGCAGTGATGATATTATTCAAGATAATAGCTTGTGCCGTTATGTCCACACCATGTCTGCCTATAATAGCAGCTGGTTGGGTCTGAGTGCGTATTATTCCAGTAATCTTGATAATAGGCGGGAGGGTTGAGAGACCTCCATCTGTTGATGGTTCTGGAGGGCTGGGAAGAAAACCGAGGGACCAGCTTGGAGGGAATTTGGAAAGCTGTAGAGGAGTAGAAATCAAGTTGGTCACGAGGTGCGGGTCGTTCTTCAAATAGATGGCGGAGAACAGATGAGAATGATGCTAAGAGTCTCGAAGAGAGCTGCTCCCTCTTACTTCTTGTTGCAGATAACATCATAGCGTCGCTACCTTAGCATTCTGACCAAGAGAACGTGGTGCGTAGTTCGCCACTTCGCCTAGGTGGATGCCGCCTCACAAAGGCCAGCGACGTAGTTAGTGGAAGGTTATTAGGGCGTAAAGTCTTGGACAAGACATCGCTCAAGGGCCAGCCGCGGTCTACAAGCAGGATCAAAGGATGTGAGGACCATCCTCATTGAGACGTTCCGAGCGGAATGGCAGTGTTTCCTGCAGTCGGCATCCCACACAAGCTGTAACTTCTGCTAACGTACTCATCTAGACACCAGGCCAAGGTTACTAATAAACTAGAAAAGATGGCTGTAGATGCTCCAAATACAAGGGTTCTAGGAGCAGTAACTGCTATTACTAACATTGAATAGTATCAAGAGGCGAGGATCCATTTTCGAAACCAAGGCCAGTATGTTTGCTTGGACCACAACACAAGATGCTCAAGGAAAGCTGCGATTTGGTGGATACCAAGTGTCGAGTTTGTGTCTCCGAAGCGCTTCCCCAACCAAAGAATCTGCCACTCGCTGGGTTAGCTTTGGCCGCCAAAATATGGGTATGAAAGTTCTTGCCCCGGATAAGGCAGGAGAAAACGCACCGTACGAGAAGACATAGTCCGCTCTGGCTGATTGAAAGAGTCCCCAGACTGGCTGGATTCTAGAAGCTCGGGAGACGTGGCGACGTAGATCCAGTCATGGCCTTGGATGACGACCCCTGGGAGCGCCCCCAGCTCCGACAATGCTAGCTGAACGTTTCTCTCGACATCATCTACTGTGGGAGAGCGAATGCCTTGTTGCACAAGTCGCTCGGGGGCTGTTCGGCGCAGCTCGTGACGGAGCATTTTCCATTGTGAAGCCTGCCAGACGCCAATCTGCAGCATTGCCCCATCCAAGTCGTGCCCGGGTCTCTTGGTCTCCAGACCGACGGAGATGGGGTGGGGACAAAGGGCACCGTACGATGTGTGGTTCAGGCTCGAACTCGGTAGCCTTTGGCGCAAAGCCAGCACCTTGCTAGTGATGCCGACCATTGTCGCATCGGCTGCAGGATCGAGGTAGATGCAGAAGTCAACTCGTTTTGCTGGTATGCCAGCCGGCACGTAGTCCTTGATGATGGAAGCGGTGGTGCTGCAGGGCAATGCCAGTCAGACAAAGATCAAAGGTCAAAGAGAGGGGACAAGACGAAGCTTACCACAAACTAAAGTCACAAAGATGTGCACCATGCTCCTCGGGATCATCCCCCCGCAAAACACTGGTCAAGAGAAGATTGTGAACTTCGGTATTCCAGACGGGCTCATCATGATCCTTCTCAAAGCAGCGGCGAGCATTATTTGCAATTCGTTGGGCTTCAATAGGCGTTAGCCTGCTTGCGGGTTGACCTGCCGAGGCAAAGACGCCGTCGTCGAGATCAAAGTCACGGAGAAATGACTCTAAAGAAGGGAGATCTCGACTGGCAGACGACAGGATGTTTCTGCAACGCTCGAGCGAGAGTATAGTAGAAAGCATGCCCTGCGTGGCGATGGGATGGGCGGGGTTGGTAGGAGGGCCAGAGAACTGGCGCTTAACAATTCCCTCGTTTCCCAGAGGGAGCTTGATGAACTTGATACGAGCAGACGACGATGACGTTCCAGACACTGAGTCGGAGCGGCGACTAGCAGTGGATGACTTGGTCGGCGAAGAGACTGGAGAAGTTTGGTAGCTTGATGGTCGTCCCCCCAAGTGTGCTGCCCTGGGCGTCATGTCGACATCTCGTTCGTAGTCATCGGGTACATCACTGTCGTCGGTGATATGAACTGTTCTTCGCTTCTTGGCAGGCGTTGTGCTCGACTGGGATTCCATCCAATGATGCTCGGGATTTGCTGAACGATGTGTCTCGTAGGGATCGGTGGGATGGAGAGAGTCGAGATGGAGTCGGCGACGCTTGCAGCTAGGGTGATGATGGAAGTCGGCAAGGACTTTGTGGTAGAACTGGACAGACGATCTCTCCAAGGGATCGAAGGTTCGATCGGGGAGTATAGTGGGCTGTTCGGGATCGTAGATTTGAACGAGGTCTCGGTCTTGAGCGGGTTCGTCGTGTGAGGCGTGATCGCGGTCGCATTCGCAGTGACAGTCAGGGGTACAGTCGTCTGTTAGTGATTCCGCCCAGGAAGCAATGGAATCCCACATAGCCAGCAAATGTTTGTAGGCAGTCGTCTTTGCAAGCAGTGACAAGGCAGAATGTGGTGAAGTGACATGTTGGATGTGGACTGATGATGCATGCAAACGAATGGAGGTAGGACGTCCGTTGCCTGAGTAACAAAAGAGGCTGATTGGGAGGCACTGGTCAGTGCTCAGCACGAGCTGACGTAAGTACTCGCATATGGTCTGTGCTGAACCCTCACCAGCCACGCGGGCAGCCAGCCACAGGCCACAGCCACGCCTTCTCGTGTGCTGAAGTCAACCTACACCTAGTGGCGCTGTCAGAGACGTGGCGCTTCCGCCGTTGTCATCCTCAAGTGGGTATGATCATGTACACGAGTCATTCGTCCATTTCGTTACCTTAAACGTTCATCCTGAGCCACTTTTATCTGTTTCTCTCTGTTCTACCATACGCCACCAGCTGGGATAGATGGCGGACGCATGGCGTAGCCTTGGGTGCACAAAGCACACCAATGAGATTGGCTAAAGGCGGCAGGTGTTGATCAAACACATGGCTTACCGGTACTAGGTATGTCGGTAGTACCGTATCCTCTGACTTAACTGAAAAACCGCACAGACCGCAGGCTGCTGAAAAGGGGCTGGCGTGGTGGCAGAAACAGGGATCTAGATGTGGCAAATACAGGGAGTCATTTACGTCAGCAGTAAGTTAGGCGGCAAGGGTTAGGGTTACATGGGTGGGTGTGTGTAGAAATAGATTGACCGCTTTCTATAAGGGGTCTAGCGTATGGTCTATGCGGTTTTTCAGTTAAGTCAGAGGATACGGTAGGTAGAGCCCAGCCACATGGCCCCACTCCTTTCGCGAACGATTTTGGTGCAAAGCGTTCGTCAGAGAGGCTCCGTGCGCAATCCATGAGCCACATGATCAGGGGAACATCAGTACCTAGCTAGGTACCTAGGTACCTAGGCGAGGACCGGTACCTCATGCCATAACATCATCTTGTGTTGTGCGTGCAATGAGGTGCGTCTGGCTGCTGCAACCGACCAAGATTGTCATCAAGCGATTCTGGAAGTGCCTGAACATTCCATTCCAGCGTCGTCTTTACGCCTCGGCCGCACAAATTTTCAATTCCACCTACACTCTAACAATGCCCTGTTGCCCTTTAATCTTGGAATTGATCAGCCTCATACATCTGCTCGGGCCGCTCGATTGACACCTGCATCCCATCTGTGTCGGATATGCCATAAAACACGAGAACCACAATGCCAGATTTCACAGTCAATACAACGGAGCGACGCAGACCCAAGCCATTGAAGAGAGGCCTCCCGACCCACCAAGCGACACGACTTCCTCGTCGTTCTGCAAGACCAATGGCTGCATGCTAGACTGAAACGGCCATGGCCGCGACGTGGGCTATAGGACGATCCATGTGTTCTGCAACGTCCGTGATGGCGAGGGGGCCTTGAGACGTCGACAGGAATGCCACAAGCTTCATTGCTTCGTCTTTGGTCCATAGATTGACCTATGCGTGGAAGGTAAGTCAGCTTCTTCCCTCAATGTCATGTGTGGTTTTTCGGTGCAGCAAGGTTTTCTTTGTTCTTTGTGTCTTGGAAGGACTCCCATGGGATGCATGTTATGGGAATGGCTTACTGGCTCGGGGGGAGGAGTAGCGGGAAGCGAATGATTGTCGTCGTCTGCGTTGTCGTTGTTGTTGTCGTTGGGTGCCTGGGATTGGGACCTGCTTTGGCAGAAATGGTATGAGCTAGGCGGCCGGCTGCCAGCTCTCAGCTGGGATTCTGCGTCGGCTCCGAGGAGCGGTGACTGTGAATCGATTCCAAAGGAAGGCGAGCGTGATGTTCCGATGTTGGACAGGCGGATGGGAGGAGAGCTGTAGGCAATAGCAGATAATGACGGCGGAGGCGGGGGCGGGGGTGACGACATCCTTTAGTTGTTGTCTAGAAGATGGCTGTTAGTCTATGTAAGTAGATGAAAGAGTCTATGTGTGTCTGAATGGACGGTTCGAGAGAATCGGCGCATGTATACTCACATTGACTGGGAGGGTGAGTCTTGGTGATGTTGGCGGGATGCGACTTGGAAGGTGAGTGAGTGTTGCGACGAGTGAGTGGTGAGCTGAGTGAGTGAGAGGTCAGCTAGGGTTGAGTCAAGAAGGAAGTGAGTGAGTGAGCCGGTGAGTGAGGTTTGGCCGAACAGGACATGCAGCCACGTGATGAGGCCTGCCTTCCTGAAATGTCAAGTTGTTGGCTGCTGAGTGAGGGCGGGCTAGGATACATAGTACGCACTAAATTCTACGCACGGTAGAAACCTCTGATGCCGTCCTCTTTCTACGCCCTCGTCCTGGGCAAGTGTAGCTTCCCTATTTCATGAAAGTCGGCCAGCAGAAGAAGAACCAACCTCCCCCGCCAGTGTCCGCCGTTGTCCGTTTTCTTTTCCCGTTTTTCGTTTTCTTTTTCTTCGTGTCGTCCTCCCGTCTGTCCGGTTTCGTCTGTTCTGTTCTGTTCGGTTACGCCTTGTCTCTTTGGTTCTGTCGGTCCGTCTGTTGTGTTTGTATCTCTCCCTTCTTCAAGATGAGTGGGAACGGTCGTCTCCCAACCGAGGGCGGAATGAATGTAAGCGTTGCTTTAGTCATTGAATATTGCCGACGTCCTGCATTATGGATCTCAACTTGCTCTATCTCAATCCATGTCTGGCTTCAATGCGCATCTAGCTGTTTGATATATGAACGCTGCATTCTTTCTGAAAACTAAAAGCTATTGTGATACCCAAACATGGATCTGATCATGCTTTCTAGGACTACATCAACGAGTACCCGTTCCTCCAGCACCCGACCACGGCCAATGAAAACCAATGGGCAGCAGGGGCAGCAGCAGCAGCCATCTCGGGGCACCAGGCGGCCGCCCTCATTCACCACACGCGGAACCACGCCCACGGAATCACCCAGTCCCTGAAAGAGCAGGGCGTCACGCCCACAAAGTCGCAGAACCAGGTCCAGGTACACCTGGCATTCCTGAGGGACGCCTACGAGAACGCCCAGTGGCACCACCCGTCCTATCCCCCGACCCAGAGCCCCCCACCCGTGGACGTCTTGACGCCACTGGTCACAATGACCAACCTCTGCCGCCAGCACGCGCCGGGGCAGTCCCCGTACCATCTCCTCTGGGGCCCCCAGGGCTCCGTTCTCCAGGCAATCCGAGCCCGCCCCCATGGCCGCCTCACAAGGGCGACGGCCTCTGACGGCCTCCGGCGCCTGCGCCAAGCTTTCCAGCTGCCGGAGCCACCGAGCCGCCGTCGCAAGACCCTGGCTGCCGCCGTCGCTGCCGCCATCGCCAGCACCACCACGCCCGACCCTGAGGTCCCCCGCGGGGCTTCTATGGCGGTCCCAGCTTTGGGTGAAGTCTCTCCCCCTCTCCCATTGTCCCCGAGGCCCGCCGCCGAGAAGAAGGAGAAGCCAGCCGCCGCCGCCCGTCGTCAGACCCCCTCCCCCCCTCCCATGCCCGAGGACGGCAACGAGTCCGATGACAGCGCCACCGGCATTGTCATGCAGCTCTTCTCGCGGCCCAACCTCCCCCTGGCGCCATCATCGCGCAAGTTCAAGGCCATCAGGGCCGAGGGGCTGGCCGCCCACACAAATGAAGAGAAGAAGCGCAAAGCCGCTAAAACCCGCCAGTTAAATAAGGAGAAGAAGGAAGCCGCCATGCTGGCTAAGAAGAAGGGGGAAGAAGAAGAAGAAGAAGAAGAAGAAGAAGAAGAAGAAGAAGAAGAAGAAGAAGAAGACGAAGAAAAAAGCCTGGATCTTGAGACCAAGAAAGAGATCGCCGATGACATTGCCACAGCGGCCGCAAGGGCTGCATCTAGGGTGGCCAAGAGGAAATGGGGCCATCTGCTTCAACCAACGCGCCGAGGGGTCGTGACCCGGCGGGTCAAGGCCAAGGCTAATGAGGCCGTGATGAAGACCATTTAATATTTTTAAATGTGTTCTTCTGGCTGTTCTTTCTCTGTTCTGGGGCTTTTCTTTTCTTGAAGGATGTTGAAGTTTGTGCTGGGGTGGTGGTTTTTTTTTTTTTTTGAGGCTGGGAGCGAGCTTGTTGTTGCTGGTTTTATTTGCTTTAATACTTTTTATTTACTTATTATTTTCTGCTTCTAATTGATATACCTGGCTCTGGCAAGAAGATGATAGAGCGTAAAGCACAGTGACTAAGAAGAAAGCCGTTCTCCGCAATCTTAAGGTAGGTAGATTCTCCAAGGTTACCAGTCAGTTTTATTGCTTTCTTCTACTTTCGACTCCCATAATCTTTCTCGTCTATTCATCTATTTGCCAACAACCATCCCACCCTCCGCCATGGCCAGTAACCCAAAAGACCAGTCCCAACCCCGTCGACGACGAACTACAGAGGACAGAGTTCGGAATGCATTGAACAACGGCGTGACGCCTTCCTTTTTCCGCTGGGTCATGCAGGCGCACCCCCGGTCCGGCCTCCTACCTGACGATGCTACGATGGATTCAAAAGATGCGACAGACATCGAGACCTCCCAAGATATTCGTGGCACCAGGGCTGTGAGTCATTCCTCGGGCATGATCAGACCCTAGAAGTCCTGTTCTATTTCTTCCTCCATTTCTATTCTTCACAACATGCCTTTTTCTTTTCTTCCCCTCGTTCTACAAGCTTATACTAACAGAATATATGGTTACAGGACCACCCCTTTGATATACCAGATGACGAGGATGAAGAATGGCAACAAGGCTTGACTGCTAGCGACCTGGAGGGTGCCAAAAAGGACATTCTTCCGAGGTTCGCCCCCGAACAGTGGTTGGACGACGGTGCAATCACACTCCTTCTCCAGGAGGTAGTCAAGAGCAACAACCGTTGCGGTATCTTCAATACATACCAACAAGCTTCAATTAGCTATAATGCGAACGACCCCAACAAGCTCTATCGGACCAAGCGCCGGATGGACTTGTTTGACAAGCCTATGTTCGCTGCGCCGCTGTGCCAAGACAACCACTGGGTCCTGTTTGTCTGCTTTCTTCCCGGGGGCGAGGTCCATTACTATGACTCCTTGTACAAGGATAGTTACAAGGAACGCGCGTGGCAGAGTATGCGCCGATTGCTGGATCTCGTCTTTGACGGAAGCATTAATTTCTCCCCTCCCGTGGTGAAGCATGTAAGGATACCCCACAATCCACAACTAACAAAATGTATCTATGCGTTACTGACAAAATGATGTCTTATATAGGCCCCTCAGCAGCGAAACGGTTATGACTGTGGTCTCCATGTTATCCGCAACGCCGAGATGGCTACGCGCCCCGCCGGCGTCGACGCCGACCTCCCCGCCCCACCCGTTGAGCCGGACTTGCTCCGAGCGCACTACCGCAAGATGGTCGAGGACATGACCGTTGGTTGAACGATGTCTCTTGTTTCTGCGCGTATCTTTTGTTATCTTAGATACGATGGACGTAGCCGATGCGTCAATAGTTGTCTTTGCTTTTTTGTTTTCTTTCTTCCTTTTTGTTCTACGAGTTGTTCTGCTGCCCTGACTAGAGAGTCAGTGGCCGAATGAAACAAAGTCATTCACTATCGTTTTCTGACCCGACCCTGGATGCGTGACAGCATCTTATTATCTGTGTGCTCAAGCACATAACAACTTCTCCCTCTACTTATTTTTTGTCATAATGCACTTATTTAGTCACAAAAAGTCATAGGGAAAACGGTTTAACTATCTACGTTCTAGGCTACCTATTTAGGCTTATAGATATATATGTCTAAATCGTAGATCTAGGCGGTAGGTCTAGATTAACAGGATGTTCTAGCACTAGTCAGATCCCTCAAAGGCTACGCGAGGTCGTGAAGGCATTGCGACATTTTTCTTAGCACACACTGTTAGTATAGGGCGGCGTATGCTTTTCCTACTTGTAAAAGTGACTCTATGACAATGCACGAATTGCCAGGACAATTGTTTGGACGAAGAAAGCGCTTCCGACAAGCAAAAATGATATTTTGGTGAGTTACTCCACTTGTCATGACCTGTCTGCCTTGGACTGCCTAACACTGCGACAGAGGCTTCGATTGGTGTACTGATGTTGCTAATCTTCGCGGTTGCTCTCATTGGAGCGCGTTTAGTAGTTCAAAAACTCCGAAAGCAAATCCCGTTGCAGAAAAATGCTTGATAGAGACTATCTGTGTATAGGTAACATGACCCATTGTGACGCCAGACCTCCCTTCAGCACTTAGGTAGAGTCCAAATTCAGCAAGAAGCAGCCACAGGATGTTGTCAGACTACGAGTTACTGACAACTCGGGTTTCTAGAGAACCTAGCCTCTAGCGCAGCCAGACGTCTACTCAGCATCCGTCTCTCTGGCACATTACCCACTGCCATGGTGTATTCCTTCACAGTGATGGAGAAGGAATCTTCCCAGTCGATTGTGGCCGGATGAAAGTGAGAAGAGTATTGAAAAGCTTGATCTGAATCGAGCAGGTGGTCCAGGAAGGGCAGCAGAGCGTTGGCGCTAGCAACCATTAGAGCGGTAATGCCGTGCGTGCCGTGTTGCCCAGTGGCCCAGTCGGCGCCCCAATCGACTAGAAGCGCTGCTGTATCGAGTTGGCGGTGGGCTAAGGCGATGTGTAAGGCTGGCGCCCACGGTAGATCGGTTGTGGCCTGCACCGGCCTGTTCTGGAAGTGGACCTTGAGATGTTGTGTGGGACAAACGCAAGGTTGGATGGCGGGAAGATTGATGGGGTCCATGCCGCCTCCAACAGAGAGTTCTTTGCCCAAATGTGGCCATAGAACCGATTGCGTCAAGGCGGCGAGGTTCCGGCGTTTGAGAAGCCAACGGACGACTTGGGTGTTGCCATTGCGGGCAGCGACGTGAAGCGGAGCCTCCAGGGCATGCCCGACGGCGAGATTGGGAGGCCAGGGCCAGTGATGGCGGCAGGCGGTGCTGGGGACGAGGAAGTAGGACCAGATGTGCTTGGGTTCAAGGTATCGAACTCGGGAAAGGAGCTTTGTTGCTAGACGCGGCGGCTGCAGGGCTGCCCACAACACCACAGGGGCCGCGGCGTCCCTGATCTCTTGTTCGCAACGGCCTAGATGATTACTGATGACATGGTCAGCTATGCAGAGGCCTGATTCTTTGTCTGACTGTGTCTCCGCCCCTGATTGCTCTTGGCTTGTGACGGTATTCGTGTTCTCAAAGAGGCCAGGACCGCCGTAGACAAGAAACCCAGGGTCTCGGATTCTGCGACTATCGTGATCAATCGCGAGGCGGAGCATGCGTGGTGTTGTCAAGGTCGAAACAGCTTTTGAGGTGAGGCAGAGGGCCCTCATCGTTGCAAAATCATCGGTCTCGTGTACAATCAACCGGAAGATGTCGCAGGGGAAAACGGGCCCCATGGTTGGTTGAGTTGGGCCAAGCGAACTGACAATTGGCAGAAGCGGATGAAGATTTCAATCAAGGAATAAGCAAAAGGATGGGAATCAGAAGTTGAGGAAGGTGGTCGTCTGTTTACAACTTTCCTTCAACTGTTGGCGAGGTCCACGTGACCTCCTCTAGCTCGGTACGGTCAGCCAGCATACTAACACCACCACTGCCACTAACACCACCACGACTACAAACACCACCACTACTACAGTGAAATGTAGGAAGTCTGGGCTCACCTATTGAAGATGGCACATTGTGTGGTGAGCCCAGACTTCTTACATGTCACTGTACTAACACCACCACCGCCACTAACACCAGACTTTTTCCTCTATACACATCACAGATACCAGAATCATGGCGATTTCTTACCCGCCGTAGTCAGGAAGGTATTGCGCTACTATGGGCTAGTAATTGTACACTTGGAGCGAGACGGGACGCCATGCGGGCGGGATATGTCACATTCCAGCTGACATAAGTTAGGCGATTGCACAGAGGGTTCAGGGTCTCAGTGCACTCCCACTACCATGCATGGTACCTCAGCCAATGAGTGGCCCCACCATTCTTATCGATTGTGTTGCCCAGAACTAGGCAGAGCGAAGCCACAGCTCGGGCCACAAGACCCACTTCTTTCGCGAACGATTTTGGTGCAAAGCGACCGTCAAAGAGGCTAGTGCTGGCTCCCTGAGTGTGGCGTGGCCCTTGGTGGCTTGTGTCCAATGCATGTCTGGGTTGTTGTACACTTGGCTGGCATGATCCCCCACAGCTGGTGGCGGATAAAGTACCTACTAGGTACCCGCCGCCCCCACTACGGACGGAAGTAGTGAGTCCCCTCGTCGCGTCGCGCGCACTCCTGCCCTTAGTGTCGTCAAACGCGAACGACTCCACACGCGTTGTAACCGAGCAGATAAGTCAGTACACATGGATGATGGTCTTTTCGCCTGCGACGGCATCGCTGTCAGAATGGAGACTGTGTTGTCTTGTTGAGCCCAATCGTCTCGCCGACAAAAGTCCTAGGCAACATTGCATCGCTTGCTGACATACATAAAACGTCAGAACATGATGTCTGAGCAGATTGGCACAGCGAAGCCGGCACAACCAGGCCTAGTTGACCGCGAAGCCTGCGCGCGCATGCTCTGGTACAAGCACCAGCGCCTACTGCGTGATGAACCCGCTTCTTTAGTTCATGCTGCCCTGGCAGAGATTGACCCGGGCTTTCACTACCTCGAGCGCCTTGGGTGGGAGCCTCGGAACGGGGACGCGAAGGACGGCGAGTGGCTATCAAGTTGGGATAAGAATGGGGGCTTAAGTACGTGGTTGAACAGGAACTTGAAAAGATGGAGGCTGGATTGGCTCGAGAAGGAGGCCCAAAAGGGTGCAGCGGACAAGAAGACGGCGGGCAGTCTTGGAGAGGGTGACGACGATGACAACAACCATGACGACGACAGCAACGGCAAGGATGATGGCAGCGACAACAATGACGAACAAGACCAGGACCAAGCCGTAATTCGGAGTGGGACCATCACCAAGCCAGCAAGCAGACATGGAGATCAAGAGCTTCCTGGCGGCTCTACGCCCGGCGTCAAGGATGACCGTCCTGAAGATACCTCGCCATTAGGGGTCGGGAACAACCAACAACAACAACCACAACCCAAACCCAAGCTCGAATGCCAAGGGGAAGGGGAAGGCAGATGCGCAAATGCCAATCCAAGAGGAACCATCATCCTACCCGCCACCACAAGCCAAGTACAGTGGATTTTACCACTGGTATCGGACCGTGCATCGTCCAGCAAAGAAGGCCGGGTCCGGCAGCAAAACTAAGCGCAGCAGATAGACGGGGGCGAGCAGCCCAGGAAGCTCTCATGATGCGAGAGCAATAGTTTTGGTAGATGGATGGTGTTGACAAGACTGGCAGGCAGAGAGGGTCCTCACCGTCATGTACATGTGTAGCCCACGCCGGGGGCTTGGCTAATAGCGGTTCCTTTTGTAGCTTCGCAGAGGGGCGCAATCAAACAACCAGTCACGTTGCAGATAGATGCGATAAGTGTCAAAAGTGTCATGTCTTGGGCTAATCCATCGGCCCATGACGGCATGATGACGGCTCTGTCTTGGTGGAATTGCGGCTTGCCGCTCACCAGTCGGGGAACTCACTGGGTGAGGCACTGAGGCGAGGTATCGCGAACGCAGCCAAGTGCCAACAGCCATACCACTAGGTGCACCAGCTAACCATCTTGACAGTATATCATTATTGGTTCGACTCTGGGTTTGTCTTCGCTCGATTGGGTTTATGGTGAGCCTCGTTTGGCGAGCACATTGGAATACTGGAAGATGACAATCATGGTTAGCAAATGTGTCTTGATTGGCTCTCGAGTGCGGTGATGCAACAAGGGGAACACAGCTAGGGAGGTTAACAATGGTTGGTATGCACCAACAGACGGAGAACCAAAGATTGGTGCGAACGGAAAACAGCTAGGGTGCTGCTGCTGCTTCTGCTTCTGCTTCTGCTCGAGTTTCCATTCAAGGACAAAACGGCGGGGAGAAATGGACAAGAGAAACAAGGGGGAGGAAACAACAAGAGGGTGCGACAATAAGAGATTAAGAGAAGATGAGAAGGGAACAAGATAAGAGACTGTAGGTACACTACCTACCCGGGTATTCACTGTGGATTCTCGGTGGACCCACGGAGGATCGGCCGCGAATTACCCGGTGATTGGTTGTCGGTGTTAAGGCCACTAACGCCGATAGTCAATCGCGATGGTCAACATCACAACATATGCATAGACATAGAAAAAGACTTGTAGCCAAGACAACGCTGCATCTTTACATCTCTCTTTCTCATACACATACAGACACACTAAGCCGCAAGAGCACCATTGAGAAAGACTAGAATCTAAGGGTCCTTTAGCATCAAACGCTTGAACAGAGAATCAGCCTCGAGCACGTGACGTCTCGCCTGAAGCTGCCACTCGAGAGCGAGCTGGACGTCGCTGTACTCTGTAAGCCCTGCGTCGCTCTCTTCAGCGCGAGCCGCTTGGGTGTTGTTGTTGTTGTTGTTGTTGTTGTTATTGTTGGACGTAGTCGCCGACGCTGCCGTTTGATGGGTCGCGGCGACGCAGCCACCACCGCCGCCATAATGATCAACAGGGACGAAAGTGCTGTTGTAGGTAACGCCTGACATGACGCTTGAACCGCCACCGCCCAGTTGCTCCACGACAGTGCTGTTGCTACACGTCTGATGGGACATGGCGCTGCTAATACCCAATCTTGAAGCTGGCGAGGCGCTCGGCGAGCATTGCGTCGATTGCCTTGGCTCTACCTGGGTGGCTTCTGCCATCCTTTTGCGGTCCCTGTCGGTCTCGGGCCGCATCCTTGCCTGGTGCTGCTGTAGAAACGGCGGAGCGCCGGCCAGGTGAGCGCTTGGAGACGCCATGGGCGGCGATCCGCGGCTGCCGTGGTGAATCAGACTGCCAGGTCCGCTGCCCGACACGATGTGTGGGTTGGCGTCTCTGGTTCTTCTTGTCCACAGCAGAGACGCGCGTTCGTCCTTGTCGTGTCGGAGAGGGAGTGGATATATGGGCGTGCTGGGTGTCGAAGAAGGGTCGAGCCTGTCCTAGGTGTGAGTATAGGCTGTAGAGAAGAAAGCATAAGCCATACTGAAGGGAGAGCGGCGGAAAAGGAATGAGGTGCCCACACAAGCGCAACATACCTAGTCGCAGCGACCGAGCTGCGAGACCCGGTCTGGGGAGGGGTGACGAGCCCCTGAGCAATGGCAACTGATTCGGCCAGGCGACGGCCTGTCGGCGTGAGGGGGGCAGGGATCGAGGGCAGTAAGGTAGGGAGAGGCGGCGGAAAGCGGGCGTCGACATTGGCCGTGTTCCGTTTGCCCAAGATGCGGAGCCAATCCTGGACTGTGTCGACACTGCCAAACCAGATGGCGGTGATTTCAGGATTCCATTGGTAACGCTGGAAGGAGGAGGAGCTTCCAGGGAGGAGATGAGGCAGAACGACGCGGTTGTCAACAACCCATTTCTGGGCAGTATGGCGGACCTTGTTGCGGAACTGGGGAAGAATGACAGTATCAAACAGACCGGAGGAGGGGTCGGAGAAGGGGCCCATGTGGCAGAGAGGACGGAGGTATGGGAGCACGTGGCTATCGAACATTCGGTCGTTAACCTCGTCTGGCAGGACTCGGAGCTTCCAGAGATGGAAGAGGATCGTGGCGCGCACAAGGAGACACCAGCCGACGGCTCGGTTCCTGTTGTTGGCGTAGAAGGAAACGGGAACGCAGCAGACTTCCTGTTTGCTCCCCACGGGTTAGTCTATTGAGCTCGAACGTAATGGCGGGGTAGAGTGGGCAATGACTTGAGCCGTATTTGTGGTGCACATGATTGCAGTGGAGTGGATTGAGATGTGTCGACTGAGTGAGATTGACGGAGGAAAGAAGGGCGGTGGCGGCGACGGCGGCGGCTGGATCAGATCGACAGCGAGGAGCGACAACGGTGGAAGAGCAGAAGAGAAGGTGACGAGGTTCAGGATAGTAGAAGGTAGGGTCGACAGGCTGTTCTTGTCAATCGGTAGCTAACAGGTAGGTCAGCGTTGAGCATTGCGTGGGACATGTGTTTGTGTTATAGACATAATGAAGAAGGTGGGCAACAGAGAGAGAAGATAAGGTCAAAAGGTTGGGCGTTCTATGGGATACGTGGTTCATGTTGGTTCTGCCTACCGCATCATTCAGTTGTTGGCGTCATGACAGCGGTATGATGCAGATGTTCCATGCACCACGGGTTCATGTTGTAGACATGACGAAGAACGTGGACGAAGGAGAAAAGATGAGGTCAAAAGGGTTGGTGTTCTGTGGGGTGCGTGGTTCATGTAGCGGCGAATGAAGGTGGCAGGCTGCCTGCCGCATCGCTTGGTTGGCGATCATGGTTCATGCAATCTTGGGATGAACAGGCGGGGTTGGCGTCATGACAGCGGTATAGTGCAGATTTTCCATGCACCAAAGGTTCATGTTGTAGACATGACAAAGAAGGATGAGTGGTTCATGTAGCGGTGAATGAAGGCAGCAGACTGCCTGCTGGCTGCATTGCTTCGTTGGCGATCATGGTTCATGCATGCAGTCTTGGGATGAACAGGTGGGATTGAATGTTATTTGTCAGTGAGTGTTTGTCTGTTTGACGGGGGATGTATGGATAGGCAGAAACCATGACGCAGTCAGTGGGCTCGGCACCTGATTAACTAGTATTTCCGAGACTTGCAGCCGTAATCAACGTACCTCCGTAGACCATCACCACCACCACCGCCACATCACATGGGGTTCATGTAGCCATATGGGTTTCTGTGTTGAGATACAGTTCCATAAATTGACGGCCAACTCCCTGATCTCAGTTCCTTCCCATTACTGTCAGCCCAGGCGTTTCCTCATCTTCCTTCTTTCCTTTCCAGGAACAAGCTCTTCATCTCCTTTCTCCCTCTCCAGGGAAGAGGAACAAACCAAATACGTAGTGAGACTTCTCTCACTGCATCTGATGCCTAGAACGATGAACTCTCATCACGTCTGACCCTCTATCGGGCAGGCAGTCTCACCATGTAATTCTTTGTATTGGCTGATGATCTCTCGTCACATGAAGCATGCCTTCTCAAATGCCTCCGTCTCTCTGTCTGACCATATCCAAGGATCCAGACCTGCCTCTGTTCACGTTTCCCGATGATTTCTCATCATCTTGAAACAGAGTCTGACCATACTCTTGTCATTCCCTCTTCAGGGATGGCTCACGAGACTCTTCTCACGATAGCTCTCCGGGTAATAGACCCTCAACGACGAATTCTCGTCGGTCCGTGGCCCATTGGCGTGCCATTCCATGATGCATGGATCACGCCGAAAGGGGTGAGGGGTGTGTGCGTGTTCCTCCCACAGCCTACAGGGGAAACGAGGATCAAGGACATGTACACACATGGGCCCCGCCGTCGTTGTTATCCGCTGGCGTGCACGATTTCATCGGGCCAAAGTCGGCTCAAGCAAGCAGACGCCCATTGCTTGCAAGTCTGCCTCACGACCGCGGGGCTGTCCGTCTTGTCGCCGTGGTGGAAACCACCCTTGTGCTCGAGGCGGCGAACAACCACTCGCTGTGAGTACAGGAAGGTGTTGTTGCTCCCGTCTCCTCGTCAAGCACGCGCTCCTGAGCAAACGCTTCTTCCTTCTGTGTCTTCTCGTTGTCGTCGTCGCCCTCCTCCTCATCCTCCTCCCGACCAGCTCCGAGAGGCCATATCCTGGCCACCCACTCCCATTTGGTCTTTGCCCTTCTCTCCATTGCCCGCAGGCGTCGCTTCAACGGTGTGTCAACAGAGATCTGCTGCAATCCAGAGGCCCCCATTCTTGAATCCCACAAGGCCACCTGCAACCTTGACTCCCTTGTGCGACGGATTACTTGTGACACTTGGCGTATTAGCACTCTGGGCTCAGCAAAGTCCCAGTCCAACCTTTTTCCTGTTACTGCTGCTGCTGCTACTTCTTCTAGGCGCTGAATCGAGGCAGCCATCTTCTCCTGTGCCGTCTGAACTCCAAAGAGTGCTTCATTCACAAGGCCTCGTACAATATCGCGGCGGGGTATCATCTCTCGTTGAAGGCGCTTGACGTGGAAGGCAACGTCCTCACTCCACCACGTCGCCTTTCCCTCAGCAATAGCAACACCGCCCTCCAGCAGATTATTAAGGGCAATATTTTCGAGCAACTGGGTTTGATGGAGAAGCTGCTCTAGCATTGTGAGCTGTTCTGCTAATGCCGTAAGCCATTGCTGTGACGGTTCAAATGCAGCTAAAAACACTGAGGCGAGTGCCTCGGCTGATACTTTGGGCGAAAGCGGCGACGGCGACGGCGACGGCGACGACGATGACGATGGCGATAACGATGACGACGTCGATGTGGATTTAGTTGAGGCCATTTCGTCGAGGTCGATAAGAAGCAGAAGCAGGTCTGACTCGAGTTCGAGGTCGTCGTTGGCAGCAAAGGAATGGATCAAGCTGGTAGCCTCTTTCGCCTGAGTGGCAAGCTTGACAAAAGCCTGTCGGGTAGTGGTGCTTGTCGGTCCGTAACTAGCAAGGCTAGACAGCTCTGCGACGGTATCCGAGTAGAAGAGGATTTGCTGGGGAGGCCACCAAATGGCACACCTAGAGGAGGAGGAGGAGTTTGAGGGGGGCCGGCAGCTGCTGGAGCATCATGATGGAGGAGTTTGAGGGGAAGAAGTCGGTGTAAAAGGAGCTCGTAGTACGAAAGCATCTGGCTTGTGTTGATCAGCCGAGTGTGAGATTTGGTAAATAGATGGTGGAAGTGGTGGTATTGGGGATTCTTGTATAGGAACGAGGGGCCCAAGGGAACAAGGACAGAGAGGAAGATGAGGGTGAGAAGCAGGACAATAAGCAGCAGTCGGAGAGTGATGAGGGGCGGCGGCGGATGCTGACGGGGAGGAGGCGTGTGGCCGGGGAGCAATATCATGTCAGGGGCAGAGTATATTGAGGGCTGGGGGACATGTATAGAGGCAACGCAGAGCGACTGGCCAGTGCAGCGATCGGGGTGGTCGGGGTCATGATCATCGTCGAGGCCGTCGGTATCAGGACCTTGACAGAGGGAGACGTGGCCGGGTCGGTGGAAGTGCAGCGTGTACGAGGAGGTGGTGGTGGTGGTGGTGGTGGTGGTGTCGCGCCGTAGCCATTCGTCATGGAAGCAGAGGGAAATGTCGTGCTGTTGCGGGGTGGGACGAGAGAAGAGAAAGCTGAGGGAGAGACGGTAGAAGGAGGGATGCTCATGGGGCGAATCGCCGTTGGATGGGTCGCGGCCGGTGTTGCGTGCGGCCATCGTCGTCGTCGTCGTCGTCGTCGTCGTCGTCGTCGTCGTCGTCGTCGTCGTCGTCGTCGTCGTCCGGACTGGTGAGGATGTATGTAGATGGGACAATGGGGTCGAGTTCATCAAACATGGCTTTTTTTCCTCTTCATATCACTGGGCGGCAAAAGGTTTCAAGGACACGTCTCTCCGCGTGCTCGTGGCAGGCAGAGGCACGGCGCTCCTGCGAGTTTGGTTTGTTTGCCTCTGCATCACAATCAACCCAGCAACCGGGTGGATCGCCAAGGAAGAATAATCATATCAAAGTCATGGCCAAACAGTGCAGCGTTCGACCACCCGACTGTTTTCTTTGGCTCTTTCTTCTTCTTATTTTGTCTTTTTCTCTTAGAATTCTTTTTGGTTTTATTTTTCCAATTCCTGGTGGTTGTCATCATGCTGTTCGTTGAATTCTCTGACAGTAAGCCAGCTGTTTGTTCCGTAACAACATACTGTGAAGACGTCACATGAGAGCGTAATTTCATCACGTATTCCATCGCACATCAATTTTCTCGGCATTCGACAGAGTCTCCATTCTCCCAGCTTGCAGTGCATCTCCAGATTGCTCTTGGTATGAAAATCAATTGATTTTGGTGGGCCCGTCCACCAAGCCACTGAAATGGTGGCAGCAATTTGGGCGTGGTTGTGGCGGTGGTGGTACGTACACGACGGGTGCGTACACCACCTATGTACGGATACTGTAGCCCACTTTGGAGCGCCCAGAGCTCCCTAAGCTAGGTACTGGTGGTGAGGGTTCTTCCTTGAAATAGTGGGGATAACTCTTATCTTATCGGTGTTTTCGCAGAGAAAAGATGTTCCTTTCCCATAGTCACTAAAGTCATCCCAAAGCGGGTGTCAACGCAACAAACTGTATAATCCGACCGGCCTAACTGGTTTGCCGGCGCCAGCAAGGCCAATGTCACGATGCACTTATTTGGTCATGGAATGTCATAAGAAGACGGCTTAACGATCTACGTTCTAGACTGCCTGTTGGGGCGCGTAAATATACGTGTCGGTAAGGTGGATCCGGGCGGTGAATCCGGATTAATAGATGTTCCGGCACCGGTCGGATCCATCAAAGGCTGCGCGATGTCGTGAAGGCATCGCGACAGCCAATCAATCCGTCTACAACGGTCACAACACCTTTCAGGCGTTCCATCACACGTCGATTCTCTCAAGCAGCAACAGGGTCTCCATCTTCGCAGCTTGCAATGCATTACTAGATTGCTGCTGTCAAGTGCGTATGTACCAGTTCAATAAAGCACGTCTGGTGGCTGTGACCGTACTAATGACTGCACTCGTTTCCATAATGGCATCTCATTGTAATGCTCCAAACAAACAAACGAAAGTAATGTTGATCAATGCCTACATATCCCCACCACGATTCCGTATTCACTTCCCCCCTCGAAGCGCGTACTGTCTCAACCACCAGAGCCGCTTAATCTCCATCTCGTGGCGCAGAGCCTCCTGCAACGCCCTCTCCTGAGCACACAATAGCTCCCCCATCTTGTCATCGATCTCCCCTATCGAGGTAAACTCGGAGCCAGCAATCGCTGCTTTTTGATCGTTAAACCCGGCGACTGTAACCGGTCGCTGTTCTCGTTCTCGAGGACGTCGCCCGTCAAGCTGGGCCCGGAAGTAGTCGGCGTGCTGGTTACACGTCTCGATGACGCGTCGACGTGTCGCTTGGTCCGCCGTGTTCAGGTCGAGGTTGCTGAGGCCGTCCATGTCAAGGATGGAGCCATCGTTGCGACGGGACGAGAGACCGACGGAGGAGGAGGGGCCATTATCTCGTTCTGTTTCAACCAACCCCAGTCTGTTAGTTCTTGGCACACAAAAGAAGACGACGTCAAGCGCTCGCTCTCACGATTGTTCCCACCACTACTACCACCACCACCGCCGCCGCCGCCATTGCCGTTGCCATATCCATCACCATGGCCGACCGCAGCGCCCACCCCGATTTCGTTGCGCGCCCTATCGGCCTGCTTCTGCTCGTTGCGTGCGAGGAGATAACGCCAGTGCTGGCGTGTCTCTTGGGTCTCGGCGTTGGCACTGTCTCCTGGTTTCGCAAGCTCGGCTCGGATGTGGTCGGCCATCTGTTCGTCGATGGTGCTCCCCGTGGCTCGCGAGCCGGTCATCGACGGGGGGCTGGACCCGGTGAATCCGCCAGGGACATGGGGCTCGCTCATGTCGATGATGGATAGCTGTCGGTCGTACGTATAGGCAGAGAGGGACTGGTAATTCGGAAACTGCGTGACGGGTTGAAGAATGGAATGAATCCCGTCGGTCGTATGTACAATAGGGAAGAGAAGGGAAGAGAAGGGGAGAGAAGGTGCGAGAGGGAAGAGAAGCGGGGGCTGCAAGAAGCCGTTTGTAATTTGCCGTTCGCCGTTTGTCGTCTTGCTTTTATGAAAACTCTTCACCTTTGCTTGCTTGCTTGCTTCATTCCGCCCTTCAGCTCGGTGGTCAAGTGAGCGCCCATCATACCTCATTCTGTCTCTTCCGTCTTTCACCACCACCATGTGTCCTTCGAATAACGCAACGCGCCTCTGCGACCAACCCATCAAACATCTCTCCATGGCTGACAACCCACGCCTAATCTTTGGCGCCTCGTGTAACAAGGCCATATACCAACATATCATCCGCCACCGTCTCCGCTCTAGTGAGTGTGTATGGAAGGGAGTTGACCAGCTCAAGGCGAAGATGTACCTTGTCCGTGCTGACGGCTCATCCTGGGGCGCCGCCTTTGACCAGGTTGCTCTCCCGCGACTTGCCAACGCCCTCAAGAGTCGCCACCGTATACTCGTCAAGGTTGGTGCTGCGTCCGAGGGCGACGCGCCTTGGGCCCCGTGGGTTGACGGCCTCCTCCACCCAGACTGGTCGGGCATCGCGGCGCATATCTCCCAAGAGGTCGGCGAGGCCTTGCTCGAGAATCTGCCGCAACGACAAGACGCACACCAGCAACCCCAGCCCCAACAACAACAACAACAACAACAGCCCGAGCGACGGGCATCTCACCACGACGTCTCGGCCGTCATCCCGCCCTCCGCAATCGTCGAACCCTCCGTCCTTCTCGAGCCCGATGACTCGGTATCCGTAGCAGGCGCCCGTCTACATCATGACCGCCACCGCCGCCGCCGTGCCGGCACCCGCTCCATCGGCGAGATACAAGACGATCTGGTCTTTGGCGCTCGGCGCCTCTTCGACTGTACAAAGCAGATCAACCGTTTGCAGTTCGACAGGCCACCGCCGTCGCCGCCGCCGCCGCCGGCGCCGCCACCGCAACCATACAGCCAGCCTCGTCCGAGACCAATACAAGATGGTGATGTCGTGGCGGCGGCGGCAGGCGTAGACACGGACGGGCGCAAGGGCGATGGCGATGGTGACGGCTCATGGAAACATGCAGTCATCCTGGCGCGCGTGTCCCGCTGGCGCCTTGTCAAACGACTCATCAGCCTTGAGAGGGAGCTCGACCGAGCCTGGCGCAACACTCTGCTCGGTCCCGCGGTGAACGATGGCATGCCGCCCTCCAGTCTCGTGGGCGGCATCTGGCTCCACTTCCTCGGTGCTGGCGAGGAGCGCCTCCTCCTGAGGTCTGCTGCTGATACAAATCGCCATGATAACGGCGGCCTGGGTCCGGATGTCGAGAGCATTGCTGCTCTGGCGGTTGACGACAACGGGTTCGATATCATTGTGGAGGACTATTGTGACTGACGCTTCTCTTGCCTTGTCGGCCAGCCGATAGAACAAGACAGTACTTCAACAGAAGCCAATTAGTTCCATGCCCCCTAAACTTTGGATGGTTTTCACCTCTTAGCCTAGTTTCGAGCGGGCAGCCAGCCTCTGATCATTCATTGCCCCATCCCGTGCTCCCTCTGCTTCTTGCGCCGCTCTCGCTTCATATGCTCCAGACATTCGCCAATCTCCTCCAGGCTGAAAACGCCCGTCTCCTCCTCCACTTTCTGAGAGTCCAGTTCATGCCCCCTTGGCAATCCCCGCTGACCATAGCCGTGCTTGTCTCCCTGACGGGTGTCGTCTTCGCGAGTACTACTCTGGTGGCCAGCGTTCACCGCCTGCGAGAAGGGCAAGTGGAAAGGCCAGGCGGAGCGGTTAGAGATGGCGTTCTTGGTGCCGCCACGCCTATCATCTCCGTGTTTCGAGCCCGCGGTGCACACAGTTGCTGGGTGCGCCTCTTGGGGGTCGGTATCGGAGTCGGCTCCCATCTCTGTTTCCCTGCCCCGATCTGCGCCTCGTCTCTCATGGAACTTGATCCTTTCGCCATCCTTCTCATCCTCGTTCCCGTCGTTATCATCACTATCACCACAACCATCATCACCATCTTCTTCCACCTTTTCCTCTTCCTCTTCCCCTTTCTCGTTCTCATCCTCTCCATTTCCGTTGATTGGCTGCGCTTGAGCTCGGTCACTCGGTATATCATCCTGGAGATCTTTTTTCGTTAGCCTCTTGGGAACAGCCGAACCAAACGCGCGAGCAATAACGGAAAGCAAGAGGGCCATACTCATAGTAGTACAATCTCGGCGTTCAGGCAGGTCTTTCCAGACCTGCTTGGACAGAAGCGACCGTAATGACCTTTCTGTCGAAACCCAGTTCTGGGGCCACGGCTCCTCGTCTTCGCTCAGCCTCGACATGTTGGGCGAGAGCACCCGAGCGCGTGCCAGGTCGGCTTCCGTGATCACCTTTGAATACTCGTGAGGGGGGTCTTGCGCGTGGAAGCGCTGGAGCTGGCGCGCCCGCAGCTTCCACACATCCGGGAGGGGCTTTGAGGCAGACATATCTAGACCGAGATATTAACGTCGTTCTTGTTGGATGAATATCGTGGTCGATCCCAGGCATCAAGAGTGCCAGGTTGCTCGGGACCCCCCTACTTAGATGACAGCCATCCTCATGACATATACTTGTTTGTTTTCTCACGTGCATCTCCTCCAACAAGACAGCGTGCATTCTCTGTCTGGTATGAAACACCCATTATCTTGTCTCCCCTGTCTTTTGCTCTTCAGTCATTTTCTGTTGACGACAAGATTCTTCCAGCCATGTCCGTGCTGTCCCTGTTGAAACAGTCCCGACATTGATCAACCCGACCCAGCCCCTCCTTAATCTTTCACCGTTTGTGTCCGTTGTTGATGAGAGCCGCCCAGTGCCGGCCGCAGATGGATCTCAAAGAGACTGGTCGGTCTGACGCCTGAAGCAAAGGGTCTAGAACCATCTCATTGTAGTGGGCACGCGCCTGGGGATCCGTCAGGAGCAGTTTGATAATGGCCACAACAAGTATGTCCTTCTCGGTAATAGCTGCGCTTGATCTGGCCTTGTTCTTGTTGACGTATGTAGCCCAGGCTGTCCAGAGCCTCTGTTCAATAATTGCACTAGATGATGACGGTGATGGGTTGGTGACGCCGATAAACTCGTATAGCGTTTGCACCTCAGATGACATGGTGTATGCTTGGACCCTGTGGTGGATGGAGCAGATCTGCTCGTCTACGCCTGTCAACCAACCCCCTTCCACCCCGACGGGAAGGGGGCCTTTGTCAGATTCTGGCTGCTACTCATGATGGGCTCGTACTCTGCTATCATCACTTTTCACTTACTCAGTTGCTTTGACGTCTCGACCACGGTGGCCTTAGGTAGCTGCTGGGTCATTGGCCAAGTGGCCCTGAGAACGAAACCGAGCACGGCCACAGCCGGTACGGCGACAAAGGGAACCCAATTGACCATGGCGTCAGGGGAGCCAAGCGAAACACGGCTGTTGATGGATGGACCGGTCGGCAATCCTCTCGCAAGGTCGGTCTGGCAATGGAACGGGCGGGTGTCGCTGAGATGTTGCTCTTCTATCCTGTTCTCTCGGGGTTCCCTCGTTGCTTATTTATGTTGGCTGTGTGCTCTCCCTGTTCAAAGGAGAGAACCCCGTGCCGTTGTCATTTGTTGATCATTCATCGTCACCCCGTCTTCCACACGCAGGAAAACAAACTCATTGCCATGGAAACATTGCCGCCGCCGCCGCCGCCGCCGCCCGACCCGTCTCGGCGCCCTTCATCCAAGAATGACCGCAGCAACCGCGGCAACGAAAGCCGCAACAACCGAGATGATCGGGATGACCGAGACATCACAGCAACATCCATGGCTGCATCCAAAACCCTGCTGAGAAGACGGGTTCAGAAACAACAGCAAAGAGAACAACAACAGCAACAACAACAACAACGACAAGAGCACCGATCCGATCAGCAGAGGCAGTGGAAGAAGCCACGCAAGCATGAAGACACATCCCGGCAGCCTCCCGAGACGAAAGCACCCCAGCGACATGGTCAAGGCCCAGTAATTGTTGTTCTGCAAAGTATCTCCCGTCTTCTGAGGGGCGTGTGGCTTGTGGTGCGCTGGCTGTTTGCCCACCTAAAGCTCGTCGTCATCGCTTTTGCCGTCATCGCTGTCCTGTGCTTGGTCGGAAACCAGGCGTCGTCGTCGTCGTCTTCGTCGTCTCCACGTTCGTCCGCCTTCCGGCACAGAGAGGTGCTGTCATCCGTCATACCCAGCTTCCCATCCTTCTCGGACGGGATCAGCGACACGGCAGTCGTTGTGGCTGATGTGATTAAGGGTGACTCCGACTACGCCCTGTACATCACACCATCAGTGATGCCGGCCCGTAATGTGCTTGATAACGTTGACTCGGCAATCCGGGCCTTTTCACAACGTCTCGTCCAGGAACAAACGCAGTACCTCAGACTCATTCACCGGACGGAAAACTCTCCAGCGTTGGGTCAGCCGTTGCGCAGCGCCTGGCCGTGGACATACTCGCGACGACAGGCCCAGGCTAGAGATACAGCCCTAGGGCAGGGACGACAGCTAGGCAGGCTTATTGAAACAGCCCTCAGCTCACGTAACACGCTTGTGAAGACGCTTAGAAGCAAGCAGACGTTACAGGCCACGCTACATGTCTCCCGTAACACATGTAACTGGGCCAAGATGCTAGAGAATAAGCCTCAAATCGTCGCCGGCTTCGTCGACAGGCTAACAACAATTGAGCCAGCCAAGGCGGATGGACCGCTGGCCAGTCATGACGTCCAGGTCCGGGACCTTACAACTACCGAGGTTTCGCGAGCAAGGGTGCTATGCTCCGGTTCCAACGTCATGGCCAGCTCATGGAAGCGGTTGGAGGAGCACGTAGTCCAGCGGGATGTTGAGGACCTTATGTCTGCGAGAGGTCAGGTGCAACATTTGCTGGAGCAGGTTGCTAATGACTCCAACGATCTTGACCCGGATGAGCTGAACGAGTGGGAGGCCCGCTTGGTGGATATCGCCGTCGCACTTTTGAAGAGCATGCGCCAAGTCTACGGGAGGTACTCAGAAGTTTGATTTGCAAGAAAGGCGTCCACTTTCAGAAGGATGTTCATGGAAAGACGGGGGACGTATGAGCCGCGGCGGGGTTCAGAAACAAAACGATGATGCGTTTGTCACTCACTCATGGTACGGAGTATGTATGATGATGTATGTTTGGGAGAAGAAGCGGGAATCGTTGCGCGGGGCAACACGCACGGCCCATGTCTGCGCGACAGCACGTGATTTGCTCGCTTTCCCAGATGATAAAATCTGAGTCAGCATGTGGGGGTCCAGACCCAGCTGGAGTGGGTGCAGCTGATGTAAGCAAGCCTCTCCCACTCCTTCTCACGGGCCACATTGGTCAGTCAGTCAGTCAGCCTCCGTCCATGGCAGCTGTATCACGACAATGAATGCTGATGACCCCGTCTTCACCTTGCGAGTAAGCTATACCTGGCGTCTTCTTCCCAGTACGGGAAGCAGTTGTTTTGCCGCCGCGCTGTTTCCCTAGCACAATGAACACGTGCCTCCACAAGCACGCTAGTAGATGAATATACTACCAATGCATGCGCTGTTTGTCCCGGTTTCACGATAATTAGACGCCAGTGTTGAATCACTTTGCACCGGGTGTCAGTCCATCACATCGGCCATTTTCTTCTGAAGCCAGCTGCGTCGCTCCACACGGGTCTCGTCAGTATCAGCAGCAGCCATGCAGCTCCTCTCTTTCTGTCGGCGGTCGGCATCATCTGAGCGCTCTACCTCGTCTTCTACTGCACGTCGCTTGGTGGGCCTTTTGCGCTGTGCAGCCTGTTTAATAACCACGTCGTCGAGGCATCATCTCTCGCCCGTAACTACCCTCAGCCAGGCACTATACCGTCCTCGGGGACGACTCTTCAAGACTTGTCAAACAAAGCATCAATTAATAGCGGCCACCACCTGACGACGCATTGCATACCCGCGTCTAGACCGCGTGCCTGGAGGAAGATGGCATAGAGCTGGAGGCGCCGTCGTCTGGCGTTTTCAAGACCTCAAGTCCCCGAGACCAGCTAGCGCGCTGCACACCTCAATCGGTTCAGCAGACACGGCCACCAACCAACCTTTGCTGGTTCCAGCCCAGCGGCCTATGCGCATTTGATAAGGGTCGAGCTGCGAGTTGTTCCCTTCGCTTGCGACGCTGCTCTTGGGACCTGCGCCTGCCACTGCTGTTCTGCTTGAGGAGCGCTCCAAACCCGTCCAAAGTTTGGACTCTTAGGTATTGGCGAACATTCCTTGCTTCATTATATCCCGCCAGCAACCATGGGTAGGTTACGTAGACTCGAATATCGCCAACGTGGATAGCCCGGCGGAGGGCTTTTGTATCCGTACACGCGGGGCGGCGAATCCACCGTGGGCAGTTGTGAATAGCTTCAATTGACGGCGACGGCAAGTTGAGCAGTGGGGCACCAATTCCCTATGGCTTGTAGTGAGTGCATCGGAAGGTGCGCCAACCTGGTTGTTGCAGTGGCAGCTGTGGAAGTAGAGCCACGGGAGAGCAAGATCGTGAAAAAGTCCGAGCTTGCTCCAGATGCAGCCGGAGTAGGTGGGGCCGTAGGGGAGAGAGAGCAAGTGTGTGTCCTGGTCACGGAGTGGGTCGGTGGCGTCGAGGCTGTGGTGGGATCTGCAGCACAGGACCGGGATCAGCAGGAACGGCTACACCTTAATTTGAGCGCCTTCTGAGAACCATGATCCTCTGGCGTTTGTTTGTTTGCCTTTTTGCTAGGACCAGGAACCCTCACTTCCTTCCTCTCCTCTCCATAGCTATGCCCAGCTGGCTCCGCAGGTACGTAGTTCTCTCCTCTCCTAGGCCCCCTTAGCTTCAGAAGTCCAATCTTGCCTGGTAACGTACCTAGGTGCCTGCCCCGCTGGGCCTGGACCGCCTCTCATTTCTCCTCTCTCATCTTTATTGACTTGACCACCTTATCCTTCTTTCCTCCCATCTTCTCTCCGCTTTCTCCACCCGATCGGCCCATTACGAATATCTCATGCGTGCGAATCGCTCAATTCATTGAAACAGAAGCAGATCAAATCAGGCAATACGGTGGTCCAAGCAATTCATCCCTTAAGCAACTCGGCGTGTCGTGTTAGGTGCGCTGGCTGTCACGAGAAGGTACGTACGGGGTGAGGTGGGTGATGTGGTCGGCAGCGGCAGGCACGCGACAACGCGGTGGTGGTGTGGGTCTAGACACACACACACACACACACACACACACACACACACAGGGAGCAAGCTCGTGCTTTTTCGTGGGCCTGCTCGTTCCCATTTGCCTTTCATGTCTCGTTACGTCGTTGCCCTCCATCTCTTCCTCTACACCCTCACCCTCTCAAAGCTCTGCTGCGCCCGAGAAACATGGCGCCGACCCACCACCTCCACCATCCCCCCAACTTCAACATCCGCCACATCCCTCCGAAAAAGCGTCAGCCAGCTGGACATATCATCTTCATCCAACACAGACATGTCGTCGTCTGGAGTCAGAACCCCCCAGGAGATCATCAATACGTTTTGCAAGAAGCTCGAGGCGGCCATTGCAAGCAAAAACACCATCCTGCCCTCCCTTGAAGAGTACGAGGCTCTACTCACGTCCGAACCGTATTTCTACAACGTGTGCGATGCCAGAAGGGCCATTCCTCTCGAGATTACGAAGCACGCCGTGCAACTCCTGCCGCCGACCGGTCCTTTCTCCGTCACCTCTCGAAACACCGCCAGTCTGCTCCGCAAGGTCGCAAAGAATTGGGGCCTCAGTCCCAAGCATATCCTCTTCGCCGTCGCCTTCGACCTTGTTGGCCAAGGCGAGACCTTTTTCCGCTCGCTGCGGGACCTTTCTGCAATCAGCCCCGACTGGTCCTCTTCCATCACTCTCCTTTGCCGTCTCGCGAATCAACGCCGAACCGAAGCCCGTCAGAGTAGGCGACCCGGCGTCCACACCTCTGGGTCCGGCATCTCCTGCCAGGACATCAAACTCGCTATTGCCTTCTTGCGCCCCCAGACGACGCCTCAATCCCCGGTAATGAACCTCACCCCCTTTCTTGTCCAAGCTACCTTATTCTATCTCTCTGGCTGAGCAAGACTGACATGATTTTTTCAAGCCTACAAACGGGTCTAGGTCCCGCGAGGTTTCCATCCCGCCGAGAATCAGCCTCCCCGACCCTGCAATTCCTTCCGACCCTCTCGACGTTCCCGAGGCTGGCAATACTCCCAAGCCCAAGAGGTATATAGAGCCTGCAAGCCCTTCTGACTTTGTCGACATTGTTGAGCCTGTCGACGCCCCCGATCTCAAGTCTATCGGGCCTGCGAGTTCCCCCCATAAGCCTGCAAGTCCTTTCGAGTGTGGCAGTACTCCGGCACCCAATAGTCCCTTCGGGTCTGGCATTCCCGACACCGATAGCAACTCGAACCGACACTTACCCCTAGACAACACCATCCTCTCCGAGCCCGAGGACCCTACCCAGCCCAACAACCCCCGAAAGCCCAGCAGTCCTTCCGCATCGCGAAGCCTTTCTCCCGAGGCCGGCAGGGCAGACGCCTCACCATCCGGTCCAGACCTCTTGGAACCCCTCGATCCCGGCAACACAAGTTATTACGACAACGCTGACACGGGGAGTGATATACCAATGGACTTGGAGGATCCGTACCTACCCCAGGACGACGACAGTGTTGTCCTACCCCTGAACCCTTCACCTCCGCCCACCTCTGCCGGCATCTCACAGTGCAGCAACCAAGCCCAGCCGGCTAGCCAGCGTCGTCTCAGTCAGAACGTGACGCTTTACAGACCCAGCAAGAGACCAATGCAAGCCCACACATCCGAGAAGCTCACATCGGCCATGGCAAAAAGGTCTCGTCTTGGGCCAGAGGCTGATATTCTCGACGAAGGCCGAATGATCGAGGGCAGATGGCTCAATGATACGTTGGGCAGGGTCTGCACGTGTACGGGCGCATACCTGGTCGATTCTCTAGAATCTGCAAGCATGGTCTCCAGCGACTACGTGGCCAAGTCGGCCATCCGCCAGGCCATAGGTAGCAAAACTCCCATTCTGTTACCTATATTTGCCCGAAACCACTGGGCTCTTGTCGTGATCGAGCGCGGCCGTATTGCTATGCAGGACCCAAAGCTGTCTTCTGTCTTGCTCTACGACTCATTGCCCTCTGTTGGCATCCGGGCCGACGCATCAGCTCAGGCTGCGGCCTTTGTCAGGCACTACCTCCCTGGCACCCCAGACTATCTATACAGCAACCCTATTCCAATGTTTAGTCCTGAACAGACAAACGGCATCGACTGTGGTGTCTTTGTGTTTGCCTTCGGGATGCATGCCGTCGCCAGATGGCCACTCAGGGCCCAGCTGGATCCGAGGCTGTGGCGACGGATCATGGCAGCTCTAGCCTTTGTGGATGTGGCCACTTGGCAAACCATTGTCCCTGAGCAATCCAAAGGGCCACAGCCACCGCCACCTCTGACGCTATCTACGCGTGGCAATGAGGCTGGCACCGAAGCCGACAACCCACTTCAGATACTCAAGGCGGCAACCCAGGCAGTCAATGACTGGCACAGGGCACTCAAGGTCGAGGTCCAGGATTACTACAACAGGGAGTCAGCAAAGCTGCAGGAGGTACTCTAGGATGTTAGCACTGCCGCTGGCGTCCTTCTGTCTGTGTCTGAACAGACGGCCCACTACATGCGCCAGACGAACCGCGACCGCCTCGACGCAGAATCGCCCGAGTTACCCAGGAGGAACACCAGCGCACGTGAGGAACGGGACATGCGTGAGGCCGGGCGAACATTCGAGTCGATCAAATCAACTCTGGAGCACCTCGATGATTTGACGGGGCAACTGGCGGGTGCGATGAGGTCCTTCGAGTCGCAGAAGAGGGGTGTCAGGGAATGTGAGCCTGGCCCTTACGTCGCAGTACAATTATAGGCCGGCAAAACATGACATGGAACAATCTGTCCCAGGCCTCGGAACAATTTTTCATTGCCAGTATGGCTTCCTAGACGAGCATTATGTAAGGTATAGAGGGATGGGGGTAGCTGTCGACTGCCTCTATTGTGCGAATTAAATCCACGAGACACCATCTCAGCCAACATTGATGTTTCTCTTGTCTTGTCAGTATCGCTGCCGGGTGTGTTCATTATACAAATATAGTTGGATGGCGAGGGTTGGCAAACCTAACAAGGTCAAACAACCGCCTCTATCACCAAACCGTTCCCTATAATGCTGCTTGTCCGCCGACTCGAATCAGCCGTAGCACATCATGATTTCAAATCGCTACCCACTGGTGCTGCAGTCAACGCCGTCTGCAGACCTTGGCCCTTACAACGGCCTCGACCTCAAACTTGACCCCACGAGCCGACACACCCGGTATCGTCCCCAATAGCCATGGCTTTCAGTTTGCCGCAAACTGTGTCATCTACTCCTTCACTGTCCCGCGTCTCTCCGCTTGGATACTCTTGTACCGCCGTCCGTCCGGCCATGATCGATCGCGACGCGCTTGAAGCAGAAGCGGACCTGGCTCCATCCTCTCCACAAACAACGCAGGGCCTCGCAATCCGCCTCCACTATGACTTCTCTGACGACGCCTCGAATCCAATTATTATTGAACTCTTACGCTCCTGCTTATCAGAACCTTCTTGTGTTGGCTAGCCTTGGGATTCTCTTGACATGACCACACTGCCTGGCCACATATACTACGTCGGCCATAGTATTAATCTGACCTAGTGACCCCAGAGTTGCCGTCTGCGATCTGTTGTTAAAGTTGATTTTCTGGTTTTGGTCCCTAGCTTCCTGGTTTACTTTTGACTCTCGTCTCTGCTGCTTTGCTGACGATTGGCTTGATAGGACGGGCCGATAATAGTGATAGGGCAAAGATAGCCCATTGGATTCAGCCGTACTATCGAAACAAACGCCTCATCTGAGATGACAGCCACACAGTCAGGCAGAGTAGCGGGTAGCTGGGATCACCGTTCAATGGCAGGTCCCGACGGCAACAGGAAAAGACCTAGCAGATAGAGGTTTCAATAATACCCGTGTCTTGGACTTGAATGAGCCATACACATGGGCCCAGGGCAACTGGAGTAATCAAGATGCGCTTGAATACGCCTTGAAAGGGAGCGATTCTCGCGAGCGTCATGCCTCGAGACAACAGAACCTTGTAGAACAAGTACCTGTTCAAACAAACTGTCTCTAGCAGGCTTTTGGTGGGATATGGGTGGCTCTGTCCATCCACTGCAATCACCAGTAGATAATCTTGATACTGGACATGGCGCGGAATGCCATGGCTGTTGCCAACTTGCTTCCCGCGTGGCAACATGAAGCTTATGTAGACAGCAGGTTGCAGTGGTGGTTCCTTTACTTCGGTATGTTAAGTTTGTTAAGTCACTGCAGCAGTACTGCTAACCTGTTATGCATTGTCTACGTTTTGTATTAGTTGGCAGTGCTGAACCGGACAAAGATATGTGCTTGGCAAGGCCCGGAGATCAGGGGCAAGATGTGCGGCGTTGGCCATGGACAGGGCTTCGGTGCAACCTGCCGACCCTGATTGATTAGCAAGGGTCTTCTGGCTGATAATGACATTCAGGTAGATCCCAAGCCAACCGAGGAAATGAACATAGGCCCGACGCCGAGGGCTTGGTCGACCGAGGACTTCGCCAACGGCAGTAACCACGTGTTCGTTCCTTGAAGCGTTGAACCAAACGGACGGAAGCTGGTACAAAGACATATATGTCCGAGGTCTCGGATATGCCAGGAAACGGGGCACCAATGTCCAGGTCAGCTTTCGCTTCAAGGGAGCTTCAGGGGGTATTCCGAGAAGACGCGCGAGTTCCTAGAGAGGAGAGAAGCATGCGGTGTGATTAATAGATGTATAGATGTGATTGAACGCAAATTATCAAATAGGCAAGCGATTGATCCCAAACGCAAGTGCGCAGCATCTCGCATATGTTTTTCCGTATTCTTTAGACTGCAGGATGCCGTCAATATTGTAGCATGCAGACATGGCCGATTCCTTCAAGATTTGGTCTTTATCTCTCACCACCTATTGAACAACTTGCCGCCCTCAGTTGTAGCCTCTAGCAGCCCTACGACCTATACACATGTTCTATCGTAAACAGGAGGCTCATCCCAGCACTCTTCTTCCACTTGCTAATATCAACCATATTCGAATTTAGCACCTATTCCACCTTTCTCAGCACCTGAGCCCGATATCCTCTGGCGGTTCCGAGCTCCATGCCATCACCTGCCCCTCTCACATCTCTCGGCCTCTCGGCTCATCTGTGGATGAACTTCGCTAGCTCAACATCCTTCCAATACTCCATGGTTATGCCACGCTCTTGGGCCAGTTGGGAGCCCGGTTCTAATTCGTAACCAAGCCCACATGCTAGACTCATTATGCCAAGTATTATACAAGGACTTCATCACACAGTAGCATAGTCCCTCCATTCACACAGAGATTTCCCGGGATAACATATCCGTCGCTAACTTCAGCAACCAAACAATTTATCCAGCGGTGAGGTCCCACTTGGTTCCTTCATTCCTTCATCCCCACCTCCAACAACCCCCATCTAAGACCTCTCTCTGCCTGCCTCACCATAGCCCATCGCCACCTTTCTACAGCCATTTACTATAGGCAATACTACCCAGCTGCCGTTCAGCAACACCTATCGGCCGCCATAATCTCAAGTCTAGCAAGCAAAGACCCAGGCCACCGATTAAGCCCCCACACGTCCGTCTGCGCCACGAATACAACCACGTGGCTGAACCCTGACCTTTCAACCTCATCAAACGCGCAGGCCATCGGACACGCTGATGAGTCAAGCTTCTACGTACGCAAAAGAGGCCACATGCACCTACAAAATGCTGAATTGATGTAAGACACCTGTCACGGCGCACGTCATAAGATAAAAGCTGACAATTAAAGAGAGCGAGGAAAGCAAAGGCTTCGGCAAACTTCTAATTCAATTCAACTCGTCTCACTACTCATCTAACTCCTCACTCAGCGTAACTCATCTCACTCCTCACCTCATTCAACTCACAAAGCCATTGAACTCAAAGTATCCAGGTGATAGATGGTCTTCTCGACTATCGCTCAAAGGGCAGGTGAAGTAATAAGCAAATCATCTACGCGTTTAGACTAAGAACTTCTAAGTAGCTTTTATTTCTTAAATTATTTCTTCTTTTCCTTATTTACTAGCAGACTTTTTATTTTATTACTTACTTAAGTTTATTTTCTAATTGTTTTTCTTTTTACCCTTTTATCTAGTTATCTTAGTTATTATCTTTATTTACTTATATATAATCTAGACTTACTTATCTCTAAATAAGTTAAAGTTAGTAACTTCTACAGACATATAAGCTTTTAATATATTATTACTATTTTCTATCCCTTTACCTAAATAGTAGCTCAGAAATAGTATTTTCTACTATTATATATATAATAGCTACATAGTAATAATATATCTATATTAGACTTTTATCTCTAGCACTAAGGCTTATACTCTCTATAAAACATTATTATCGTAGTCCTTTTTATAAACTACTTAATAACTAGTAAAAAAACTACTACTAGGGCTAGCTTATAGGCCTAATTACTATTATATTATCTAGTAGTAGACCTATATATCTACTTATTTTTCTAGATATAAGCTAAGGGTCTAGGGTATTACTTTACTAGGATTAGTAGAACCTTCTCTTAGCCTTACTATACACTATTATTTCAACTATTATCTTCTTTTACTATAGACTTACTATATAGTCCTAAATAGCCTTATACTAGTTTTATAATGCCTACTAGCTTAGGTAGATTACTAAGCTAGCCTATAGGCATAGAGTCTAAGTGCATATACCTGGTTTCTGCCCCCCTCTTGCTTTATTAACAAGGACTATAGGCTGACTAACAAGAGCATCAGCACATTTTGGACACCAAGGCAGGTCCTTCAGACAGCAGAGTCTTAGCGGAAACTTGGAATTGCCCCCAAACCAAGGCGGCCAATCTTTTGATGGCGTGGAATGCAGCCTATCCTTAGACACTTGGAGGAACGAGTACATTGGTTGGGGAACGCCTCTTGTTAGCTATGAACCGTCTCCACCAATCACGGCAGGTCGGCTTGTAAATTGAAGCTCTTTATGGATTGATCTAGGCTGTGCCTGCGCGGGATGACGCCTTGAAGTTGCTTTGCGAAGCTGATGATTGCTGCCGTGCTGTGACACCGACGCAGGAAGCACAAACCTCGCCACTTCTTACGCAAAAAGTTTAGTCGTCGTCGTCGTTCTCGCCAGAGGCCAAGTCGCTCCTCAGCTCCACCTTCCGAGGTGCCTTTTAAATGCAAGCGTTGGAATCGCAGCTCTCGTTCCGAATCTTGAGGCATCAGGAACCTAATGGCTGCCGGGAGGGGCTGACTTGTAGGGGGTCCTCTCAGTAGTGGATGGTGCATTGGAAAAAACGGCTTGCGAGGTTAGACATAAGGATATGATTTAAGCTGAGCTCCCCTATATCCTGCTGGCAATCATTATGTCTACGTATTTTCTTCATTTGCAGGTGATGTCAGGCCAGTATACATCTTTTTGACTTCGCACTTCTTGTCTCTTCGTTTAGTGAAGAGAAAACTCAGTCTACGCTACACAATTCATCATCACTAGCACCAACCACAACTATTTATACATAAACAAAAGTCTAACAAGATTATCTGATTCTCTCATCTTCCTACACTGTGTTACGTTGCAAACAACAGTGCTATTAACACCTTCTCTTCCTTGTCTGACTGAAAAGACGTGTTAGACGCAGCAACTCAAGACTTTTTTTAACACAGTCCAAAACCTCACGCTACTTAGGACATTGGTTGACCGCCTTGTGGAAGGGGCCTTGGTACCATCTCGAGGCGCTAACCAGACAGACTGCAAATATAGGTATCCCATGGCTCGTCAGGACGTCATTGTTGTTGGTGAAGCTTGGTAACTGTGTTCACCAGACGTAGAAGGGCTTCGGGATCAGACGCGCCAGACGCTTTGAGTGCCTAACCTGATTCCCCGTCGAGATAGAGACGGGTTATACGGCCAGGGTCTTCATGTGCCAAAATCACCAAGACGTGCAAGTCCAGGGAGCTGAAAAGCTCTCTTGTCTAATCAATTCTGTATAACATGGGGAAGACATATCTTCTGAGCTGCGTACACATCTAAACTAAGTTTCCCGACAAATGGTTCTTAGGCCCTGTGTTTACCCTTCTCCTGAGATGCCACACATCCAAGGCTTCTGGGCCGTCCATACACGCCTTTGCCAATTAGCAATCAGCCTTGAAAGAATTTTCTGCACGAAGAAAGCAAGGTGACCCGGCTAGGGCTTCCCAGCAGGAAGAGGGCCCGCTTACATTTCGTAGGTTCCGGTAGCAGCAGAAGGCACTTTGGCACTAACGGTACCTGTGGCTGATGATGCACGTGCAACACTTAGGCTAAGCTGAATAAAGCCCTCTTCCTGCAAAGTAGTCTTGACCGGATCCGTCAACGGCTGCGTGTGCTTGTGCGAGGCCAAAGCTAGCATATGCATCTGGTGGGCTTGGGGCTGCTGGTGATGGACCTGGAGCTGCATCAACCAACCCCCGGGGTGGAGGGCCAAGAAAGCCTTTCGGTACAGCCACTTCAGATCATCTGTATCGCTCTGTGTTGTCAAGAGATGGATTGTGGCAGCTGTGCCATCACCACATGCCTTGACTTGGCAACTTGCTGCGATAAAGTCGATGGACGTGCGTTTCCTAGCGCTATCTTAGCCATAATAAGCAGTGGCGGGTTAAAAAAAGAGAAACGAGAGAATACTTTTGCTGCCAGTAAACACAGGCCTGTAAGGTAGATAGGTCATCAGCGGCCTCAGAGGTTCTAGGGGCGGAGGCGGTAGGTCTAGATTAGCACACAGTCCATGTTTTGACTATGAAGAACCATACAAATCGTTAGCAGACGGTGATACGACTCCCGGGAGCTTAAGTGTGCCATTCTCAAATGCGTCCAAGAAAGTGTTGTGAATATCCTGCAGCCGGGAACGTTCGGCCTGCTCATCCTGTAACGTAACGTGTCACTCACAACGTTTGTTAAGACTAGTTGATAGAAGAATGCAGAATTAGGTAAAACAACAGACTTACGATTCCTTGTGGAACAAGGGGCACCCACACGCGATGCGCCAGGTAGTTGGGATGATTCTGATTTGCGACGCGCGGCGCTCGGCGCAACGGAGGCGACATTAGTTATTAGCAGCGAACTTTCGAAAGGTCTGGTTGGTCAATCCGATGTTCAAGACAGAGTACAATGTGTACGTGCAACCAACAGTTGGTGCGAGATTGGTGGGAAAAGAGAGACAAGAAACAGTTGGCCTCGTCTGAAGCTGTCCGCCAGGAGATATAGGGAGGGGGCAAGAAAAATTCCAGCACCTGGAGAAAGAAAGTGGAAGAGAAAAACAGAGGGCAGATCGCTGTGGCTGACGTTATTGAAGCAAACAAACTTACAGAAAGAGAAGAAGCAAGCAAACAAAGATAGAGAGACGATAACAGGCTGCACGTGTAATTGGGGGGAATTAACGCTTGTAACGCCTAGCGTCCCAGCTTGCCCTTGCACCCATGACTTTTTGGACATGGGTGTTGTGATGGTGTGTGGGGGTCTAATCGAGCCTAATTACTCTCCTGGAGGATTCTTGTACCTGAACTAGTGTACCTTCTTTGACATAGGATGCGATAAATGGGAGGCCGACTCACGATGCATTCGAATCTGGGCGCGCACAAGATTAGATACCTAGGAACTTGGCCACTAGGTACGTACCTACACCCAGGCGGGCCGCGTGGGTCCCGGCTACTCCCGGAGTGGCCCGGTCGCAACCGCACCGCCACATCGCCACACCGCCGCCATAAGCAAGCCTCCATGGCCTCTTCATGGAAATAACAAGGCAGTCGGGTGACGGAAAAAAAGATAAAAAAAAAGATGACCGGTTGCCATATGCTAGTGCCAAGGAAAAAGCGGCCATGTCATTATTACTCGAGTGCTTAGAGTGTAAACTAGGTCTCTGTTACATGGGACAAGAATTTGTGGTTGCTCTCTTGATTAAAATGGCGTTAATAAAAAAGAGGAAAAGAGGGCCACATTGATAGAGGATGCGATAGTGACAGGCCGAGACGCAAGGCGGTAGTGTGTGGTGGAGTTGTAATGAAGTGAGCTGTAATGGAGATGGGGGGGAGAGCCCGGGGGGATGAGGTAAAAATAAACACCTGCCAAAAGGGACAATGTAAGCTTTCAACTGGAAGAAGAACCTATCCATATTCTTTCTTTCTCCCATCGTACCGGCATACGCTTCACTTGTTACAGAAAGAGAGTCTGGCAGTTCCTCTCTCTTAGTACTATGCCGCGGGGTTTCCGGCGTTTGTTGAAAAAGGCCGAGGTTGGACAGACGCTGAAACGACATGTAGCAGGAGACGGCAGATTTAACCAGAACAAGTTTGAGAACAGACTGACGTGGGGTTATTAGAAAGGTTGGTACTGTTAGGCGAGAGTTTTCGAATGATGGAGATATCCGGTGGGTATGGATGGTCATATGAGAGAGTCACTGAGTCGTTCGGTCCTTCTCTCGCGCCGATTCTAGGGAGCCTATGGCAACGGCAACGACAAAAACGACGTCCAAGTTCAAGAAAAAACAAGTTCGGGATATTTCCACAATTGATATAGTGCAAGCTTGCTTCTGTCTGCACGCTTATCTGTCTGTCTGTACGCGGCTGGTTATTTCCGCTCTCGTCTTTTAGAGGTGGCAACGCTCTTATACTTTTTATACCACGCAGCCATGCGACATTTGATCCGGGGCTGGACTATTAGATAATCCGGCTGTCCCATATCTGGCAACCCGGATCCACCACGACAATACCTATATCTACGTGTCAGACCAGGCAGTCTCACACGAAAATAAATCAAGCCGTTTTCCTATGACTTTTCCTACCCGAAAAAGTGCCTCGTGACATTTTAAAAGATTCTTTTTCAATAGATTCGGTTGGTTCAACTGGTTTTATTTATAACACAGTTAACTATATTCAAGCTTAGACTGCCGTACTCCGAAAGAAGGGAGAGGATCTCTTCCTCCCACGCAGCTGCTCAGATCGTGATGGAAACGGGGACGGGCTTTGCTTTTCTTGGGATCAGACCATAATTTGTATTCTATATTTTGTTGAGATACTCGATCGCTTCCGTTCGCTATCTATTGATTTCAGCAAAATTCCCCAAGCCAGCCAGGCATAATAATTTCAACATGTGTTGTCGATTGTAACTTAGACGTCAAAAACAGATTGAGAGAGAACAACGCGCCGCCCGCCGAAAGTACAAACAACAGGGCTTGCAATGACAGGTGCAGCAGAAGCATTAGTCTCACGTTCCGCCACTGACCCCTTCCCAGTCCTAGCCCACGGATGGGGGACTTGGATGGGCTAGAAAACACGGTGGTACTTTTGGAGGTTCTAGGCCACGGGAGTAGATGATGAGAATTTGGTGATGACGTCCTGTGCTGTAGGTTGAAAGAAGGCGATGGCGGGAGAGAGACGAAGTTGTTGGGTTAGATGAAGATTTGGAGGCTGTGATAGACGATGATAGGATCACGAGACTGAGGAAGAAGTCGAAGAGGAAGAAGACAAAGATAAAGAAAATAAAGACGAAGTGTGAAATTGTCCCTGTCGGTGAGAGAGACGTTAATCCTCCTCTAGCATTCGCTTCACACCGTCTCATGGCTCTGTCTCCTTGTGGATAGTGTGATGCTACATCGGGAAGTACCAGGCGCGGGGCGTCGGAGGAGAGCACGGAATTGTGCCGCGAGTGGACTGAAGGCCTATTATAATTGCTAGGATAGGCTGACATTGGGGTCAGATTTGGCAAGCGGTGGCGGCCGCGGCTCTGGCGGAGGAAGATAAATGAAGCGAAAAGATGATGATCTGGGTTGTGGGTGTGTGTCTAAGATGAACTGACAACGGCGATAGCCACTGAGGAAGACATAATGTCAGCTAAGGAGAAATAAAAAGAGATATAAGTACTGCCATTCATTGCCGCCACGCGTGAGGACCTGTACCTGGGTAGGGTTGTGATATGCCGGCCAGATAGGAGCTGTCTAAGAACGATGCGTCGCAAACAACAACAAGTAAAGGTGTTAGTTCTGAAGGAAACTGAGTCTGGTCTGTTTGCCGAGGTGCGTTTGGAGAAGCTCAGGATGCGGGCGCTTTATACACAGCGGGTTTGGAAGCTCTATGTACTTATCGGGATGGGTTGTAGGTCTGTTTCTCAGAACTGTTAGTGACAACTATTCATGAAGTGGACACTGCTTAAAGATATCTGTAAAGTTGCCTCTAGCCGGGCAACTGGTTAGTGGCTTCCAGGTGATTAGTAGTGGGTGTACACCTGTGTCAATTTCACTAGGCCTTGTCTGCCTGTAGAAGAGGCCACCGACAAGCTGATGATTGAATGGAATAGCATCAATAGCGTAGATGAAACGGCAAAGCTTTGTTAGGAAGATGGGGAGGTGGAGAGATGTGTTAACGGCGGGTAGAGAGGGAGGGACTTGTTGGCTCTGAGGGGCCAGGCAGTGAATGAATGGATGAATAAATGACGCGGGAGGCTGGAACCTGCGTTGCATATGTTGTGCTGCGATGTATCGGTCGATAATGCAAAGTTCTGGAAGCTTTGTTGGCTGTTTGTTTGTCTGGTGATCGGAAAAACACAAAAGAATACAGCCAACGAGACGCGTCTCTCTTTAGCAGCGAAGAGAAGTGTTACGAGTTAAAGAACCCATCAGGGCCCATGAAAACAGGGTTTCAAAAGGCTTAATTCTATAAAAGTTAAGTAGATAAAGAGTTCCCCTATATAGGTGTGTGGAATATGCGAGTAATAACTGAAACACCACCTCATAACGCACATGATAGACCTTATGTGAGTTGCGGGTCATATGGGTTGAAGCTATCGTGACAGGAAAGTAGCACCAAGACGCCCATCACATTGCTGTCGCTTTCACTTCATGCCTTTCCGCCTCGCTAGTCCATGCTATATCTTACTTCTCAATCACGACAGGTATTCTTTAGCCCGTTCCACCTAGGCCATTGTGAAGGCATCATGTATATCGTTTGACTGCAGCCAAGGTTCACAGCAATCAAGAGCAAAAGCGAGACCTCATGCAACAAGAAACCCCGTCCCGACCGATGGCGATGTTAGGCTGCTTAATTCCCTTTGCACCACCATTATGTTGGCTTGATTTAACGCCGTGTCTTGAGTTGAATTACTATATAGGTCTAATCCTAGTCTTTTTTGTTCCTTATGATTGATCAAGGCTGATGTTAGAATATGGATTGGCCAATGGGCAATACCGCAATGACTAGGGTGCCGAGGTACGGGCATCCCATTCCTATCGAGCTGCTAGGTAGCCCTCTTTACTTCTCCTTTCCCCCTTCTTTAGGTAACGATGCGTATTAGAAGACTTCTGCTTTAACCTGCCGAAAGGCCCTCTATACAAGTATGTGACCTGTGATACTAACAGCTGGGGCTGCTGATACAGTCTGTTATAGTTCTCAGTCTTCTAGAGGGCCCCTTGACGCAAAGTTGAACATATTATGTCGTGTTTCTTTGAAGAAAAATGCCTGATAAGGGGATACTTAGCAGGAGGATATATAGCTTTTTGTAGGAAACCGCTTGGTAACAGCCTGAATCTTACTGACATTAAACTTACAAATAGACGACTCCTAGCCTCTTGTATTCTCTATGTCTGTGAGTTATGACCGTCTGGAGCTTAGATTCCTTTCACTTAAAATGCTGATGTTCTGCTTTTGGATCCACGGTATTGCTAATCTACGGCAGACAGGGGGAGGGTAGGTTTATGACGCCACAGGATAGGCGGGTAGCTAGATATATAGGGTAATACGTTCTAGGCTTACCTGCTGTCTAAGGTATTAAGAGACTGTGATAAACCGCAGCGTCTTGTTATCTAAGAGAAAAGTAGTTTACTTATTAAGAAACTATATATAGACTAGAGAAGCAGTAGAAATACCTTTTCTATATAGTCTAAATAGGTAGTATACTATATCTTGTGGCAGCACTACTAGTACTAGCTATATAAAGCTATTTTACCTTTATAATATACCCTCTTAGCTTTAAGATATCTTAAAGGTAGCTCTATATATAGATTTAGAATTATTAAATAAAAAAAAATAAAGTAATTATTATATAATAAAGGTTATTATAACTAAAATATTATAATAAAGTAAATAGAAAAAAGGTTTAAAAAGGACCTTTTAAATAAGGGTTTTTACTTTATTAACTATACTTTTTTTATTATTCTTAAGAAAAGTATAATAGCTTTAGGTTTTTTAATATAAAATAACTTTCTTTTTTTTTAAAATCTTTTTCTCTTTTTTTAACTTAATAATAAATTAAATAAGTAAGTTAGTTTTTTTGTTTACTTAGTGCTTTAATTCTAAGGTATATATTAG